ATATTAGTATCTCTAGATATAATAACGATTACTCCTAACACTTTTCGTAATTGATCATTTATAAAATGTAATAAAATGTAGAAAACGTATTAAATTTATTTTCTTTATATTTATTATAAATGATATAAGCATTTGACATTTATAAAATTTGAGAAATATACCTTACTAGAGCAGTAAAATTGCAACAAACGAAGTTTCCTGAAATTTTTGAAACAAAGTTTATTTTATGATTCAAACAAACCATATTTTTAAAATAATTAATAAAAATTGAAAAAGAAATTCTCTCTCATATTTATACATATTTTTTAATTTAATTTCTTTATTTCATCGTGTTAGGTAATTATCCTCTGTATTATGAGTAGAGTCGGAGAAAGAATCGTTCTTACTTACAATTTTTTTTAATCTCATTTTTTGTCGCAGAAAGGAAAGATACCTCTTCTGCTAGCAGTCGAGGCTGGCAATCAGTCGATATGCAGGAAACTTTTGGCACATCAACGAGCACCAGATCAGCTTTGCGCCACTACGCCAGCCGGTGATTCCGCCGTGCATTTGGCAGCTAGAAGAAAGGACATCGACATGGTGCGGATCCTGGTGGATTACGGTGCGGCCGTCGACATGCAAAATGTACGTCAAATTTTAAGTGCAAAGATTCCAGATTAAGTGAGCCAATAATACTCAGACGGTATATTCTGGTGAAATTTTGTCAATTGTATATTTCCGCTGAATGTTTCGAAGCTTGCAAATTATACTTACGCTGTGATGTAAATACAATGCAAATTCTTTATCATTTTTGTCCGCATTTTGGTAAACTACGTAATCGTTTAATTATCCTCTCGACAATTTTATGCCATTCGGAAATAACCATTTAACTATTTTATCTTTTCATCGCGTAAATAAACAATTTCGAATTTCTGAGACATAACGTCATGTGATATAATGGTACTGTTTAATTTCTAGTAGTAGTAAAATTAATGGAATTTTTGATCAGGTTACAAAATTATTTTGTATATATTTGTATTATAACGCAAAGCGCTAAATCTCGTATACACCGCAATTCTATTCTGACTTCAATCTTAACCCTGCCAGAAAATTAAGTACAAAATTTGACAAGATCGATCGTACATGAAACAGAAATGACGCACATGTTAAATTGCTGCAACTGCAAGTTATATGTTTTTAAATGAGCAATTAGAAACGAGTAGACGATCGTAAAATTTAGGATGAGGTCTTAAATTTTCTAAATATTTTTTTAATTACCGTCGTTATTTACCGTCGTTTCCCTCATAATTTTGCGATGCAATTTTTACTATCATGCAACAATATCCAATGGATACCTCTTAATTGAGTAAAAATTTATAAAAACAATTATAAGATAAGTATATGCATAACTCATGAGAATAAGAATTGATTAATAAATATAAACAAGAGGTAGACTTTAGATTTTCAGATATTTGCAATATGTATGGTACATAAGTTGAGTTATAATTAGTAAAAGATGAAAAAAGAGATAATTTTATTTCTAACGTAATTGAAAAAAAAGTAATTTTAAAATAAAATAAAATAAAAAAGAAAAAATAATTTTCGAATTTTATTGTATTACCAATATATAAAAATTAAAATTAAAATGTACCATTAACCTTCAAACCGCACACTTCGTTCGAGCACCCACTAATAGAATGATGGTGCGAATTTGGATTTGACATCTTAAATTGTACATATTTCCTGAGGATAAAAACAGAAATGTTTTGAAAACCACACTTTTTTGGGGTAAAATTTTCTCACAAATCAGATCGGAAGAGCACACGTCTGAACTCCAG